TGAATTAATTTGAAGCATTAGTTTAGCTTTCTAATCTTCTAACAACAGTCAGGAGGCTTTTTGAGTTAAAATCCATTATATAATTAAACAGATTCAACAATGCAAACAGTTAAGGAGCAACGTGTGGCTGATAAATACCGAACATTAATGAGCTCCCAACTGAGACAGAAGTTTTAGGATGAGAAACTGCTCGGGTTTAATAGATTTTTAAAGGTTTACCCAAACATGACTTATTCCTGCATGCATCCTTAGTCATGTGTGTAATAAGAGTGACCAAAAATGTAAATCACATGGAAAAGCTACAGTATGAGGAAAAAAAACAAGAATTATAATGAGATCAGAGGGATTGATCACCTCAGTTTTTTCACATTTGCTGCTTTTAAATTAGGAGTTTTGAAGTTTTACTGTACAGGTTGCATAAAATGTAATAAATTAACCGTGTATTAAATCAAAGGTTTCAGGAAACCTTCTACCACTGTAGCATATTACTAGATAATATGATAAACAACTAGAAAACAGTGATGCCTCAGGCTCCTTACCCATGGTGCAAGAAAGTGTAGGAAAAATTCAAGAATGCTTGGTCTACCAAATTTTTCACAGGTAAATAATCTTTTCTTAAGGTATAAGGATTCAAACCTTTTAGAACAGCATTGTAGGTGCCCAGCATGAATGCTTGAATAATGGCTTTGTTAAAATGTAAAGTATAAAGTGGAAAACCCACCACATGTTACTGCATAATGTAAAGAGTTTGGTGAAATTAAACTTTCTCATCTGTTCATGAGGCTGACAAAGATGTGTAGTATATAAGTACTGCATAATGTTCAAAAAATAGATCTGATAAAACACAGACTCAATTTCAATGACTTTATTATTAATGACTTTATTATTTATTTTTCAATCATTTACTTTTGCATCCTTGTCCCTCTGCTCATTTCTCTACTGATCTATTGTTTCAGTCGGTTGGTGTTGTTTATATTATATATGTATGAATATTCTCTCTATTCTAAAGCCTGTGTCTGATTTATTTTACATTACTGTGTTATTGTATAAGTAAGCATAGAGTGAGCATTTTATAATCTAAAGTTAAATTCCAAGAAAGCGAAAACAAAGCTGTCAAAAAAAACATTATTCCGATTCTGGTTTATTGCTAAATTGATTCAGATAGATTTCCTTAATTATTAAAAATTTTTTTTAAAATAGTTTTGTATTTTATCTTACTTTAATAGATTTTGTTGATATGCCTGAATAGCTATAAATGTGACAGGGAAAATAAAAACAGAAAAGTTATGGGGAAATCCTGTAAATGCAAGAGGCATTCAACACTTTTGAATTCAATCCAGTGTTACCAGCATGTAAACTGTAGTGGTAGTCATTTGGTCTCTTTCCAATACTTACGATAAAAGAAATGTTAAGAATGTCATTTTATATCAAAGGGCTTTATAAGAGGCAATCAAACTGCCTTTAATTATAGAAGGTCCTCAGTAGTTTGCATTACAGGCTTCAAAAGGCTCTCAGTGAAGTATCTTCATCTCTGCTACCTAAAAATCTGTTGGTCCTCTGGTTTTGAACGTAGGGAAATCTCTCTTAACATTTACTAGAAAAAACAAGATAACATTTTTATCATGACATTTATGGTCTCTGGGAGGGAATATTAGCCCCTAAATGCATCCTGTTTTTGAATATTTGCTGTTAGTTTGACATTTTGGTGTCATGACTAAAATATTCCTCTCAATTCAACATTAAAGTCAGGACAGCAGATTTATCAGGGAAGACTAGTTTCACCCTTCTTATCATATCCAGTATAGAGCAAAGCTTTGAATTTTGTGAGATTAACCTCATGCTTTGCTGCAACAACATAAGAATATAAAGTGGGTGGAGAAGACAGACGTGTGAACCCTTTAAAATCACTATGAAAATACCAATGTTAATGCTGTCATGTCAACGTAAATGTCATGAACAGAGTTAAAAAATACAAAATAAAGATAAAAGCATTACAAATACTGTGGTTCAATAACTAGTCCTTTTTGGCCTTATCAGCTCCTCTAGCAAAGTAGCCCTTTGGTGATTTTTTTTACTCCCCCGAATAAAAAAAACACAAAAGGGCTTTAGACGGTTACTTTTCTGGTAGCTGACAATCAATCTATATTTATTTTTTTTGGGATTAGTGAACTGGATTAGTGAATGGAGGCATGTTTGACAGCACCTTTTCAAGTCTGCACACATGTGAATGAGGGCCTCAATGTCATTTTGTGACAATGACTTGTGAAACATGCCACTGGAAATACTTCTATTTCCTCTTTTAACAGCTCTAATTTAAAATCTAAGTTACTGAGTTCAAAGCTCTCCTGCTTTTTCGACCACTGAACAACTTGCTTTTTTAAATAAACATTAGTAATATATATTACATTCCCATACATTTATTGGCATTGAGTTTCTTGACTCACTTTTCCCCCACCAAACACACTCCAAATTGATTAGTATGTGTTTTAAAGTATGTGGTCTTTTTTTTATTAATGAATTTATAAAGTAACAATAAGTAACATCTGAATTTTAAGTTCTGAAAACAAAGGAATTCCAAATTCATAAACATGTTGGATAATAAAAAGTAACTGCAGTTACCTTGCCAAAAACCAGTTACAATGATTAAGCAGTATTGAGTAACCCCATACGATAGTGGATGGCAATACTAAAATTAACACTAGTGTGATTCTATATAATGCGTCAGAAATTAAATTTGGTGGTGATAATGTATTTATAGTGTACATCATTGGTTATTTTGAGCAGTCATTGCAGGCCAAGTTTCTGACTTGGGTGTAAAAAACTGTTTAAGTAATTTTGCAGATCAATTTGAAAATATAGTAAAAAAAAAAGTTGTAGACTTTACAGCATATTTACAGGTTAATGTAATGGAGCTTCAGCCTCTCGGCAATGTCAGGGTTTGGTTGAGGTTTTGAGGACCCAAATGCAGAGGCAGGGAGGCAGAGCGGAGTTCTTGTAGTTTTAATGGAGTGTTCAAAGGAAACAGAGGCAGGAATCTAAAAATCCAACTTATTAATGCAAGACAAACCAGAACTACGGAGACATTAGGGAAGACATGCACTAGAAGCTGGGGAAAGGCGAGGAACCAGCACTGAGGAACTGCACAGGGAGAGTATTTATGGCTGACTGAGCAAAGACGGGACCAGGTGTGAACAGAGGCTTCTAGAAAGGAGCTAGGGAAATGGAGACCAACACAAGAGGGCAACAGTGGGCAACAAAGAAAAACCTAAGAATGCAAATACATCTAGAAAAAACTACAAAATAAGAGTTAAACCAATAAAGACGAAACCTTGCAAGCTTAAATAAATAATTTAGCATCTTATACAATGCAATAATTTCAACCACACAATTAATTGAGAATGAAGGATGTACTCATTACTCACAGCAGAATATGGATGCACAAACTGCAGCTCAGATTGATGGATAAATAAGCAATTAATAAGCAATTATGTGTTTTGAATACTAAATATGAACACGAGTTCATATTTTAATGCTGTAAACAGGATGTTTAGATTGAGTTAAACCAAGTAGAACTGTATTGCCTTCTTATCTCTGTGGTCTTTTCTCAAATTGCTCTCATAGGCATCTGCCCAAAGCAGATGTTGGATACTCAGACTTCCCAGATGTTTTTAGAATTTCATGCAATGCTTCCAGTAATTTACATATTGTATTGACACAGGGTCATCTGATTTTTCGCTTTGTGCTTCACAGATGGGCTTCGATGGTCCTCTCTCTGCACAGGAGCAGATGTTCATCCTATATGAAGCTAAACTGCAGTGCCTTCAGAACCTGTCCAATATGGAACCAACAACCACAGGTAAAAAACACTTGCTCTAAAGATTATTTGAAACATAACATAAATCTGCCCTTTAAAATCCCTTTATTTACCTTTCAGATCTTTAACCTGCCAAAATATTATCAAACTTCAGTTATATTTTGTTTTTGTTTTGGCTTTTATTATGATATGATATTGTTTTCACAGGTCTTAGACTTCCTTTTACCACCTTTTCATCTTTACTGTTTTCCTTAATATGACCCTATGATAGACATAGTTTCAGCTGTGGGGTATCTGCTTTAAATGTCATTTAATTATTAATATTAAGATTTTTTTATCCCAAAAATAGTAAGAATGAATATTTAAATATGGAAATAAATTAACATGAACGGGCTTTTAGTTCTGGGCTATATAGAAACAACCTAAGAATTTAACACCCCTACATCCCCAGCAGGGATGAAGCGTGAGAGAAAATGGATGGATGGAACATAAATGCATAACGTCTAACATGATCATAAAAATACACTGATGGTTGTCATTTTTTCTTTTTTATAGCATGAAGCCAAAGTTCATTATAATGGTAAAGTTGAACGACTGAAAGGAAAGTTAAAATGTGTGAAAGTCTAAACTTGANTGTTTTCCTTAATATGACCCTATGATAGACATAGTTTCAGCTGTGGGGTATCTGCTTTAAATGTCATTTAATTATTAATATTAAGATTTTTTTATCCCAAAAATAGTAAGAATGAATATTTAAATATGGAAATAAATTAACATGAACGGGCTTTTAGTTCTGGGCTATATAGAAACAACCTAAGAATTTAACACCCCTACATCCCCAGCAGGGATGAAGCGTGAGAGAAAATGGATGGATGGAACATAAATGCATAACGTCTAACATGATCATAAAAATACACTGATGGTTGTCATTTTTTCTTTTTTATAGCATGAAGCCAAAGTTCATTATAATGGTAAAGTTGAACGACTGAAAGGAAAGTTAAAATGTGTGAAAGTCTAAACTTGAGACACGTTGAAAGGTTAGAAAAAATGGGAAAAGAGGAAGTTGAAATAATAAAAAATCAAAGTGCTGAGACTGCTGCTTGTATCCAAAGCAGTCTACATCCACAGATGTTTGCTGCAAAATACATTTTTATTTAATTCTATCATAAATTATAGTTGCTACTTTATTTACACAAGTTACTCTCAATCCTTCACACTACTATAAATCCTTGTTAACTCGTTATTTCCTTTTCCCACTTTTTTTCTTAATCTTTAAAAGGGTAAGTAGCAAAAATGTTTTGTCTTTTTTTCCCTCCAGATGACCCTAATATTGTGTCATAGGTTTCCCATAACATTCAGAAAGGTATTTACAGACATTTACGGGGCCTCTATAATGTTTGTCTTTAAACCTATCAATTTTATCTTGGTCTAACAGTGTTGCCGATTGACTCCCTTCCCAGAATACATTTTCTTCATAGATATCCAGCTTTTCTCTATTTAGCACCCTCCATTTATAACTTCAGTTACGGCCAATTAGGCAGCTCATGTGTAACTTTCCCCTCAGCAGGATGCTGCTACAATCAGGATTCACCGTAGGGACGGCAGTCCTGTTATAATGGGTTTCTTCAACATGCGGCTTTAACATGCTTGCCTCAAATTCATTCAATCATTATTCAATTAAAATAAACATCTTTTCATTTGATCAGAAAAATGTGATTTTAATCAGAGCCGTGACAAACATTTTGTTTATTCTTTGACAAAGTCTAGCATACAGTACAAGCTGCAAAAAACTATGAGTATTCTTAATCCTCTCCTAAACAGAGAGAAAAAATATCATTTACTTTACAAATCACATGAAATAACCTCTGAGCTATCCAGAAAGATGTTTTTGGGCTGCAAGAAAAAGTGGGTATGGATGGGTGGATGAATTTTAACACTCAGTAATGATCAGATGAAGGTTTGACTTCTCTTTCTTCTCACTGCAGATGAGGGGTGCCCTCCAGACTGGGACGGTCTTATTTGTTGGCCCCATGGCTCCCCTGGGCAGGTTACAAAGGTCCCCTGCCCATCTTACATCTATGACTTCAATCATAAAGGTTAACAGCCTTTTTCTTTATACTTTCGGCAGGAATTAGTCGAAATGTGAAAAACAGAATGCATAGATAAATACAGAAGCCTTTTTGTGTTTATATTTGTGTTTATATTGTACCAAAATATATCTTAAAATAAGAAACCCATGGGTGTTAGATAAGATTGACGTTTTGTTCTTTTCTTTATTTCTTTTTTTTATTTATCTCTGTCTATAAAGGTGAAGAAATAATTTTAAACAAAAAGAACAAAATTGCATTAAGCTCAGAAAATTGGATTCAGTAAAAGTCCTTTGAAGACAATTACTCTATTTTTTGGACACGCTGTGTTTGACAAAGCAGAGTGCTGCAACGGCAAGTAAGAAGCAACCATCAATAGGGTCTCTTTCACACTGTTGAGTCATGAACAATCAATTTAATTTGGAAAATAGGAATTGAGTGATTAAGATGATAAGATCTTTACGTTGATTTTTTAAATAATGATTTAAAGCAATTTATGCTATTAGCACTTTTTTTCTGGGAGCTTATTCCATGTTAGTTTTATGCTTATCCCCTTTGGACTTCTTTTTTAGTTTCTTTTTGAGTTCTCAGTTATTTATGTCATTCTGTTTTCTTAGTCATTGGTTTCTTTTCCACTTTGCGTCAGTGATGTGTTTTTTGTGTTGCTCTCTGTTGCCCCCTTGTGCCGGTCTCCTCCCCCCTAGTTTCTAGTTGCTTCCATCCACACCTGCTCCCTGTTAGCTGATTAGCCCAGTCTTTGTTCTTTCTCCCATATACTGTATACACCTCCTGTGCAGTTTGGTCAGTGCTGGTTCCTCGTCATCATTTGGCTCCTCTTGTGTGTTTTCCCCTGACATCTCCTGGTTTTTGGTTTCCTGTATTTTGTTATTGGATTTTGTCTCTGTTGCCTTTTTTTAATACAGTGGGATCCGCTTACTGTGGTCACATTGGTCCAGAGCCAATTTGAACACTATAAGCGGTTGATTACTAAAACCAAATTTACCCTTATTTCACTTCTTTTTTATGCAGAATATGATCTAAATTCCATTTGTATGGTTTTCAATGACAAAAATAAAATGAAATGATAGCTTCAGAATTCACTGAATTTTATTACAGTACCATGCAAGTTTAATTACAGTAAACTGTGCTGTGCACAGATAACTCTAGTAGTCTACGTAACTTATTATGTGCTGTGCTTCGGCTCTGCTGTGCTGCTGGTGCATTTTTATAACATGTCTGAAAATAAAGTTGGGAAAAAACTGTTTCCTAGAACAACAACATTGAATGTAACTGCAAAGGTTACAGAAAATTAAAGCTACCTCTGTTTTGTGTTGCGGATCTGCTGCGCCGTATTAAGAAATCACTTAACCTAACCTATCCATGGTTCCCTGGATCAGGGTGTTGTCCAACACCAAGTTCACTTCTTTTTCAAAACGATGTAAAAGGTAAAAGTTTTTGAAACCAACATACAGGAGACCAGTCTTCAAAATGCAAACTGCATTCCTCATCTCAGTTCTGGAAAGGACAACTGTCTTCTCTTCTTCATCCTCCCCCTCCTCTCCCTCCTCTCTGCGCGCAACACTGGTACCCGCACCAAAGCGCTCTTGTACCTCCGACATGTACACGTAATTTTAATATTATTTTTGCACATGTTTACATTCATAAAATGGCCAAAAATGAAAACTATAAGCAGATTTCTTGATTACTATAAACAAATTATTTAAAAAGCATTTGTATAGAAATGATTCTGTCCCAACCCTTTTGAACTATATAAGTGGTGGATTACTATATCCGTGACCACTATTAGCAGATTCCACTGTAAATCAGCGAAAACTCATCATTTTACTCTGCATTTGGGTCCACAACCACATCCACCATCTTTGACTGTTAGGGGTGCATACAAAATAAACTCTGCTTCTTGATGTTTGGTTCTTAATCTGGGGATGCAAAATTAGACTTGAGTCAGAGGACCTTAGAGGTCTGGGCAGTATATTAACTGACTACAAGTCTGTGACATATTTTAGTTCTTAGCCATTTGGTAATTTCTAGACTAACAGGGGAATTTTCATCTCTATTCTCTGGGAGAGGGGGAGCCAGTGTAATAAATGTAGCTCTCGGGTCATTTGCTCCACTTTCTTTATTTTGGTGAGGATGCTGGCAGCAGTGTTTTGAATCAGCTATCAAACTGTTTAGTCAAACCCGTGAAGACGCTTTTGCATTAATCAATTCTTGTAAAACTAAAAGTATGAGTGGATTTTTCTAGATCCTGCCTGGACATTTGTCCTTTAATCCTGGAAATGTTCTTCAGGGGTGATAAAAAGCTGACTTTGTTACTGTCTTCTCTAAAGGGTCGGGTCTATATAAGTCCAGAATTACAGCATGATTGGTGGTTTCTAGCTATAATTAATCTACTTAATGCTTGTAAAAGCTTTGGGTTTTCAGACCAGAAAATGCAGGAATTTCATGATCTTATGCGTATTTCTCTTTGAAGACCTCGTGATTTCCTCTAATTATTGAAGATAATTTTTGCTTTATTTAAAAGTTCTACTTACAGTAAGTTAAGTAAGGCACATTTGTCTTTAGAGAGGTTCTCCACTGATGACTCCAGCTTTGTTCCACTACACACGGAAACAGTATGTGCAGGAAAATCTCTCCTGCTCTTCTACCACCATATAAAATAATCTCCCAAATACACTCTGGTCTTATATCTTTCTTCTGAGGTGTTCGTCTTCAAACTTGTGAGGCAGTTTGCTTCTTGTAATTCATCCAATGTTAATGTATGCTGTGAGAGCAGGGAAGCTACAATGAATGGCTGAAACCTCACTGGAGCTCATAGGATAAAAAACAACAACATAGAAGTTCAAGAGGAATTGAGGACATCACAAAGATTGACATGTGGAAAAACCAATAGATAAAATAAAACTTGGAACTGAAAGACAAAGGAAGATTGTCTTCTCTACTTTTACTGCATGAGCATTTCTATGGTTGTTTTGTTTTGCATGTACATATGTGGGGAGTTTAGAATTCTGGTTTTGAGTTTGATCAGAAGATTCAGGGTATTAATATATACAGCTCATCCAGCCTGTGTTTAATCCCAAAAGCTGATGTGTTTTTACTACCGGTATTTAAAAATAGTAAAATTACATATTCCTTTAACCTTTCAGAAACCTAAACCCCTTTAGCATTTAAAAGTTGTTATAGTTATTTTCCTAAAATCAACATTCCCCTTCCCATCTGGATTTTCAGTTACCTGCTTGGGCAAGGAGACCAAGCATTGTGCTCAACAGTTTGTCATTCTGCATGCTACGTCTGCAAACTGCATTTCTTTTCGAGCTGCCATCAACATATGGCTGATCATGCCAATGGCCAATTAGTGTCAAACAGCATTGCCTTCAGGCCAAATGTCAGACCCTTACTGATTTCTTCAGCTCTTCTTCTGAAAAGGTACAAAAAACCCCCCACAAAAATGGAGCTAGTAGAAAGGGGCATTGAAGGTCCTTGAAGTTTTTAGACTTGGTGTGAACTGTCTTTTTCACAGATGCTCTTGGAGATGTATAGCTGTGTTAAATGTTCATTTGCATCTAGTCCGTTTTGGTCAAGTTTGTATACACCATCTTTGAATTTAGAACACTTTTACACATAATTTGCACCTAAAAAAAAAGATTTCCTTCTGGAGCCTCAGATGTTCTCCCTAGGTAATTTGCAAGAACATAACTGTTTATTATCAGGATGTGACAATAAACACTGGCTTCAAAAGATCAACTGAAGGACAACACTGACTCTGAAAAGAGAGCTACACAGCATTCTCTGCTTCTTCTACACTGCTTGACTAGCTGCTGGCAGGCATGCATAATAGCTTGTGATTAAATGTGATAACAGCATCTCCACTGTCATATGTTTTTGTAAATATGATTTTTTTTATCTTGGAAAATTTCACAGTATGGGCTGGAATTATCAAGATCGGATTTTGCGTCCAGTAATTTGCGCTTGCAAACTGGAATTTTGCGCGAGGGGCTGAACCATGGTTTGCGGGTGATTTAACAAGAG